TACATTTTTGGATGTGATATAGGGGAATTACTTTTTCTTGATTATGTTTATTTGGTACAATGGTTTTGTATTCCTTTTTCTTTTGAGGGGAAAGAGAGGGGAGATAGGAAGAAAAATAAATGCTTGATAATTTTTTTTTAGAAGGTATCTTTTTTTGGTAGTGGGGGGGCTTTTTTGGTGAGGCAATTGGAGTTAAGTGACTTGCCCAGGGTCACACAGCTAGTGTCAAATGTCTGAGGTCACATTTGAACTCAGGTCCTCCCGACTCCAAGACTAGTGCTCTATCCCCGGGTATCTTTTTTGAAAGTACAACTGAGCATAACTTAGGCGGCAAATGATCCAGGTGTCTATGGGTGCCCAAATTCAGGTGCTTTGGAGAAAAGCTACCTGTCTTCTACCTAAGGCAACCCAAATAATTAAAAGCTCGTTGGCTGGGTTGGCCAATTGCTGTCTATTGCTAAGCAAAGGAACAGAGTGAAAAATAGCTAGCTTTAGAGTGGAAATCTGGAGTTGTAACCCTTGGTCTGCTACTAATATCACCAGTAGCCATGGGCACTTCATACAATCTCTTAGTTTCATTGCTGGTGAGGTTAGTTGGTTTCATATATATATTACACACAAGGTGGAGGAGCAGTGTGGTGTGATTGAGTGACAGCTTTGCAACCAAAGCCTACATTGTGACCCCAAGGACTTGCCATCTTCATGTCAGTTTTTTCCTCATCAATAAAACAGGGGAATTGTATTAAATGATCTCCTAAGTCTTTTTTTAATTCTAAAGTTTTATGAAATGTCCCTCCAACTTTTTTCTAGAACTCATCATGATCTCTAAATGAAAACCTGCTGATTCACAAAGAATTGGAATAACTTAGAAGGCAGAACTGGGTTCTATATACTCCCCTCAAACCTGTCCTTGGCTACATTGCAAAACAGAAATTGGAACAAAAGCTGAGAAAAGCATTTTTCCAGGCTTTAATTAGTTTGGCAAAGTTCATTTTCTTCTTCCCAGCCCTAGGTGTAAGTCCGTCCCTCCTCATTCCTCTGCTTTCAGGAAAACATTTCCTTTTGAGGAGAAAAAGGAAACTCCACTTGCCTTCATTATCTTGGAGCATGGGAAGGCCAAAGGTATGAGGGGAAACAGTTCACAGGAAGTCATTCTTTATAGATACAAGGATGTACCATCATAGAAAGGAACTCCTCTTTTTCTCCTCTCCATCTCGGGCTCGATATGGGTTATACGTCGGGCACCAAAACAAGGTCTCGCACTTCTTACTGCCCCACTACGTACACTGAGCTGTCCTGCTCCCAGGCTTCTGCCTCTTCAGCTCCAGTGGAATCCCGACCCCCTCAAGGCCCAACTCCAAGACAGTAGCCTTCTGGACACTCTCGCCTCTCACTTCATGCACACTTCTCTTAGGCTCTTGTTAAATGCGTGTCATGTTCCCTTTCTAACTTGTAAGCTGAGGGCTAGGACTAAGTTTTATCCAAACCTTGCCTTTCATCCTGGGGCTATCATCAATCAACAAGCACTTATTAAGCACTACATGGAAATGACACAGCTCCTGCTTTATATACAACGTATATCCAGAGTTATCAGGGAGAGGGGCCACTAGCAGCCGGCTCTGAGGCTTTATCACTATTGTAGTCATGTTGCTCTAAGTAGAAGCTAAATTGAAAACATCCCCCCCACCCCCATCCTTCTGCTCTTATGTCATTCTCCTCTTCAGCCGCTTCATTCCCGCCTCCAAATAGTCCCAGGCAGTATTTAGAGCTAGGATTGCCTTCCTACTCCTCCTTCCTGCAGGCAGGCAGTTCTTAAAAGAAACCTAAATCCTAGAGTAGGGAGGGACTTAGAACTCATTTAACCCCTTCGTTTTAGAGGAAAATGAGGCCCAGAGAAAGCAAGCTCTTTGCTCAGGGTCACACAGAAGGTGAGAGCTACTTCCCTTGAAATATCTTTGTACGAGGTTGAACTTCCTCTAATAGTGGACTTGTCCCATGTGACCTTATTAGAGCCACGAACTGCCATCCTCTTTGATCTGGCACAGAAAAGGAATTCAGTGTTTACCGGCTAACTTTGCAACTCTCACGATTCCCTTCCTCCTTTATCTTTTACACCAAATTGTTCTTGTTGATACAAAAGAACTTCATTGTGATATATAAAGATATCGTGCTTTCAGAGCTACAAAACACCTTATATATATTTCGATCTTCATGGCCTTTGTGTGGAAGGTCCACAACGTGCTATATATATTTAAATATACTTTGGTGCCACTGACACCCCTCCAACCTCCCACACAATAACCCCCAAAAGCCTCACACAGAATCACAACTTCAAGCACTGAAAGGGACACAGGAAACCTACGGGGCCCATTTTTAATCATGTTCACCAAAGGAACTGTGTATATTTGAGTTATTATTCCAAGATCAAAATATTTTACTTTTTTGGTTCAGACTGTCTATTACGTCTCAATAACTGAGACACAAAAACGAAATTCATGCGGCCATTTTGCTTTATACCATGCCATAATGAGTTCAAATGGGTATTCATTTTTCTGTAAATGAGTATGACTCGAACATAGTGATATCATTTTTGTCCTCTCTGAGAATGAAGGACAACCAACCAAATGAGTGTGATGGACTTGAAATGGCCTGTTTTAAAGAGTCAGTGTTTTAAAACCAATTCATTTTCTGAGATTTGGTTAATAAAACCTGAAGATGAGACAATGTGTGTTTCTTTCACCAAATCTGGCAATAACCTCACATTCACTACAGATTAACCATAGTTAAATAATGTACTGAAAGCAAAGTACCTGGCCTGCAGGCAATTCAGGGATGAAGAGAGAGCTGGGAGAGGGACCTGTCAAAGGCAAGTACTTGAAATTTATGGGGAAGCACGATGACTTTAAAGAAATATCTCAGAAAATTTTAACAAACTATCACTATCACTGTCACTATCCAAAGCCAAGTATTGTCAGCTTCTAGTGTTCTATAAAATGTTCCCATTTTTATTCAGACATATGAACTACAGTTATCCAGTTTCTAATATGGAATGAGTGACAGGGAAAAGAAATTAATGCACTGGTATGATATCAAACCTAACGGAAAAAAAAGGACAAAGAAAAAATTTTAAGTAGAAAGCAAAACTTTATTTCTCTGAAACTTTTGAAACAAAAGTAAAAAAGTTTGGAGTGTCAATTTAAAATTCTATAATCCATTACGATTCCAAATCTCAATTCAGTAGCACCTTTCCAACTGGGGCTCCCACATTCTTGGTGTGCATGATGGTAGGTGATCTAAGCTTTGCCCATTAGGCACAGTCCCTGCTTCTGGCATATCCTGAATTACAGGCTTACCACACCCTTCCTAGAATTTGTATCACTTTCTCCCATCTTCTTTTACCTAGTGGTTCCAACACAGTATGGGGGGAAAGGAATCCCAATCCTCCAATGGCTACATTTTCATGAAAGCACATACTAGAATTATCACAGGAACTCTGGAAGCTGGAAGGGATCTCAGAGGCTCTCTTGGTCCAACCCACATAGGAACAAGAATCCCCTCTATAGCAAACCTTGACAAATGGTCATCTTTGATTGAATGCTACATGCCTCTTTCCTATCATCTGTTACCTCCTCATTCCAGAATTCTCTCATTTGTCCATCACTTAACAGCACACAGTGGTCTTACTTCTTTGAGCTTCTTTTCATCAATGTACTTTTTTAAAACCTGATTTGTGTCCTTGTTTTCTCATTCTTAAATAACTGCCACCCATGCTCCCATGATCTACCCTTGCTTCCCTCTTTAATACATACTGGCTTCACATCAGTCTCTGACAACTCCCCACATCTTCCTCTTCACTGGCACTGTTTTTGTGTCTTCAGAAGTTATGCTTACAAGCTGTGTTGACCCTGGACAAGTCACTTAACCTGTTTGCCTTGGTTTCCTCAACTGTAAAATGGGGATGATAACAATGGCTACTTTCCAGGGTCATTGTGAGGATCAAATCAGGCAATATTTGTAAAGTGCTTAGCTCAGTGCCTGGCACGTAGGTGCAATTAACAAAAAGAGGTGATCTGCTCAAGGTCATGCAGTCAGATTTAGCTACAGAGCTGCAACTAGAACCCAGAACTCCTGATTCCTCCCCCAGATCACTGTGCACTATGTAAAGTTCGATTACATTGAACAAATTCAATTGGAAATCCTCATCATTAAACAAAGACCATTCCAATGAAAAGGAAAATGAGCTAACCCAATCTTCATGAGTAAGGAGTCTAGAGAACTCAATAGACCTTTCATGGCAAATTGTGCTTCAAAAGATTTATTACATTTTCATTACATAATGGAATGTTATTAAACATAAAACCTATATCAAAAAATATTCATGATTGTGTACTGGCAGACCGTCAAAAATCTCAACAATCTTAAGCTTTCCAATCATCCTTTCAGTTACAAAATCTAGAAACAGGCACTACGTTCAACAATTCAAACATTACATTTTTGTTTAAATTTAAGGTAATGAGGGAAGACCTATTATTCATCACCACTAAAATGACAATCGTTTCATAAGCGATTACAGTTTCATCTAATACTTGTCAGTACATTTGTTTGGGTAAGTGTGCAAAATCAGATACACGTGTTACCACGTAACATTAACGCTAAGGGCTCAGTGTCCCAATTCTTTCCTCAGTTCTGTGTTAATGCTGTATTGGAACACAATTTAGGGACAGTTAAAAATACATTCCCTCGAAAGTCTTCTTCTCTCCTTTTTCTCCCTTAAAATATTTTGACACTTTGGCAAAATCAGCTGAAAGAATAATGTATTCAAACACCTAAAGTGGATGTCCTATTTCAGTTTGAACCGAAGTTATAACAAGTTGTTTCTACTTAATTTTCTACTTTTTATGATTGCAAGCTTATGCTCACTTAACAGTATTACTCTAGTGGTAAATTAGGAGGAACTATAAGGACATGGTGGGGAAAATCAGCAACAGAAGTTAGCCAAGTTGCGGTCACACATTTCCTTTATTTTCAAAACTATGACACCCACAGCAAGTTATCTCTGAAGAAAGTGGGATTTATTCTCCTAAACCCAATATAAGTTAGCATCATGCAACTCTGTCCAAGTTCAGAGCCTCACCCTAAGGGCCTGGCATGGTTGCAACAAGACCCAGGAGATATTTGATGAAGGTTTATTGGTAATAAGGGCCTAATACAACATATATTATAATGGCTGCCATGATTCATAAAACTTCATTTTAGACTGCTAATCAGACCAGATGTGAAGGAGGTGCCTAATTTCCTCAACACAAACCATTAGCATAGCACCTTAGCAATATATCCTCAGATCAGAAACTAGGAGGGAAGATCTGAGAGTCTCAACAGTTAAAAAGCAACACCAGCAGGTTACCAGGCCAGAGGGGGTTAGTTCCTTCTGTAGTCAAAGTCCATCATGGCCTATGCATGCATGCCAGAGATCTGAGGGCCGCCCTGCAGCCCAGGCAGAGCCAGTAGACGTTACCAGCAAAGTCTGCTGGCCAGGGTTTCAGCTCACAGATGCCACCTGGTCCCTCATTTCTGGAATCCTCTCCTGTATACAAGCAGAGACCTATTGTGATGGCTACTGGTTGAGGTCAGATGGCTTTAGAGCATTAACGTACTTATTCCCGATGACCAAACCAAAGATTAATGCACCTGATTGCCTTCAGTGCTAGAAGCTATTAGTAATCTAAGCTGGTTAGGGAGAGGAATCATGTCCTAACAAATACAGTCATTCTTTGTTTCAAATATAGACCACGTGGCTAGGCAGCATTCCGAGTAAGGATGCTCGCTCAGAACTTCAAGCTGGCGATTGTTGTGTGTAAGCAAAGCAAACTGACCTAATGTTACCAGGCAAAGCCCACAGCAAAGAGAGATTTGGATTGCAATCCCCTCCCAAAAAACTAGCAAGCAGTAACCTATCTGGGTAGGAAGGAAAATTAAGGGGGAAAAACCAACAACCCCAAAATCAACCAACGTTATTCACAGAGCAAAACATAAGTCAGTAGTCACACACTACAGGAAAGGGGGCATAGGGTCTGGTGCCTGACCTTCCTCCTTGACTGGAAAGGTGGAAACCTCAGAATTTGCCTGTAGCCGGGTGCACAAGCCTTCCAATCCTTGTCACATGAAAGGCTTCTTATTTCAAAGTCTTAGACTGAACTCCAAGATGGGGTTGAGACCCAGCAGGCCCAACTCACACCACCGCCATTTGTTTGGATTTACTCTTAGCGTTTGCTTATTTTACTTAGATGTAAAAGTTGGACTTAAAAATGTCGCTCTAGCGGGGACGCCAATGAGCAGTAAAATTCGGTTAATCCATCTGACAGCCCAGAGAGTTTACAATACAGCTTTGCTTTACACTCAAGCTCGTTGGGACAAAATCCACACTACCTGGTTGGTAGGCAGTAAGTGCAGATGATGTTTATTTGGAATTTAGTCTTTTAGAAAACAGTAAGAAGTCATTCACGTTCATAAAGCACTAAGATTTACAACGTGCTTTCCCCAAACCTGTGTCTACCCTACATTTACAGAATTTGTGAACTTTGATTGGTTTGAAATGTTCCCATCACCAATTTTAGAAACATTGTGAAAAGGAAAGTGGTGTTTTCACTGAAGGAACTCAAATGTAGCTGGACAGTCTGCACTGGGGAGAGGGCCCCAATGGTTCTCCACGTTTTAGCCCAAGGCCTCCTATTAATAACACCGGCAGCCTCTGTTTGATCTTGTTTGAGCTATCACAGGAAACTAAATAGGCGACACTTTGCTATTTCAAATGAATTTGCTTTTTGTAAAACACAATCTATGCTCAAGCTTGTGCCCAGATTTTAAAAACACGCCCATTAGAGTACATTCTATTTACTCTTCTGGCAAATAGCTCATTTAATGGCAAAACCTGAGTATTAGAAAGATTTACTTTTTCTTATATATTTAGGCACGAGATAGGCCCAGCAAAAATATTGGGGAGGGGGTGTGTGTGGTAAAAATTGGCAATCAACACACTTCGGACCAACGGTAGCACAGAAATCTGAACATATCGTTTTCCCATGTGTGACCTTCCCCTACAAAGAGGAGAGGGTGAGACTTTTGCTCATTCGGGCTTTCAGCTCTCTTTCCATTTAGCCAGCAGGGCAGGTAGGGAGAAAGCTAGTTCTCTAAGATACAAGATTTCCTGCCCTGGCACCACAGATTTCAAGCATATTTCCCTGGGATGTTTCTCAGGGTTTTAGCTATTTGGAATTAAAATTCTGAACAGTTTAGATGTGAGTCATTTTAAAAAATACCTGCACATTAATATTTTGGGAAGTCAAGTGATGAAGGATGGAAATCTAAATTTAAAGTAAAAATAGTAGTTTCTAGTTTGGTTTTGTTTTACAGGCTGGTTCTCAACAGATTTCAATAGAGACTGCCCTAGATAAGTGGTGCCAAACTCCAACAGAAACGAATCCCTGCTGGCTCCATAATTGACTTAGAAAACCACAAATTAACATTGTCTAAGTTACATTGTATTTTTAATTTGGTAAACCTCTCCCAAAGATAACTGAATGTGGTTCTGCCCCAGCAGAGCTGGGCACTTCGGTTCTGGAGGAGCAAGGCTAATGGAGGTAAGGAGACTCAGGACAGTAGGAGTCCTGAGTGTGCGACTTATTTCACGGTGCGCACACAGTCAAAGAGCACACTCGGGCCAATGTGGGTTTGACACCTGCTATCAAAGTAAAACGAAAAAGAAACAATCACATTGAAAAAATAAGCCTCTAGGAGAACATGGCCACTAAGCCACCCCAGCTCGAATCACTGGCATTTCCCGCAAGGAACCCAAATAATTCTGCCCACAGCGGGATATTAATAGGGCTAAAGGAACACATCATTCACATTCTAAACGCTGTTATTTTATGGAGGGAACAATTTACAAAATTAACAACAACCAAGTAGATCTGACTGAGATTTAATGATGAGAGCCAAAGTGTGAGGGAAGCATCTTTTCCTTAGTTGGTTCAGAAGCACCAGGACACCGTGTGGTCAGTTGTTACACGAGTGATTTTGGATTCTCTGATCATGTGCAGCATCACACAAGGCATTTCACAGCAGAGTCTCAGGGAAAATGTTATCTAAGTCTAGGCTCTCCCAGCAAGCCATGATAGGGGTGGGGCCTGGGTGGGTGTGCTGGCGGTGGTGGCCGTGGCTCCTGTTCTTGCCTTTCTTAACAGGGAACAGGAGGGGCGTGAGAGGGAGAACAAGGGGGAGGGGGAGAACACGGGACATTGAGAGCCCAGGAAGCAACAAAGAAGAAAAGGAAAGAATTCATTTGCTCAGAAATCAGCCCAGGACAGCTTCCTTCTGAGAGCCATCAACTACACTGCAGAATCTTTACTGATAACATTTTCCCTTTATGTTGAAAATGCAGAAACTACTTGTATTGATATAAAAAGACATTCACTTACATAGCCCTGACTTCTCCTCCAAGTTTAAATCATTCAGATATGTTTTGTGGGAACTATTATTTATTTATTCACATAATTTCCTCAGTACATTTCCCCTACAGGACTGTTTAAAAGCCTCTGTAAATTAACACATATGCAGCACAGTAACATACATTAATAAATTATAAATTAACAAAATCTCCATACTTGTTTAAAAAATTATCAAATGCTAATCTCCAGATTATCTGGAAAATGAAAGATGCAAATTGCTATGAATCTGCCATGCAAATTAAATTCTGATTTTTTTTTTTAAAAATCTATATAAAATGTTCCGCAAATTATTCTGAGCTTCATCCAAACTTAATTTTAGGAACTTGGAAAACTTTTCTCCCCACTTCAGCAGTTATTTTCTTAAGTTTTCATATTTTGCCCCCACTTGGAGAGGCAGCCCGGAGATGAAAGTACAGAAAAAGAATTACCTGAAAAAACAAAAATACCCGTTAAAAGAAATTCCCATTGCCGGCAGCACTTAAAACTGGTCCTTCCTTAGGAAGTTGCATAGCTGCGTGGGGCTGCTGCCACACTGCCAGGCAGGGGTTTCTCCCCAGCTAGGAAGGGGCCATGCAGATTGAGCAGGTCTGCGGGAATCGGTCCCGGACTCCACTGGACTCTTTGGGCAGCATTCTGCTTGTCACTTCCGGATGTCTGGAAGAACTTGAGATCACAGTCTGCATTCAGAGAAAAAGACTTTACTGCTGCTCCATCCCCTAGTTTGGTTGGTGAGGTGTCAATCCACAAGAAGGGAGCGTGAGGTCATCTTTACTCTAGAATCTGAGAATGCAAAACCTTCCAAGTTGGGAGGAAAAGAGAAAAACCCCAAACCCCCAAATCCATTCACAGCTCGAGGGAACTTGAGAAGTAAATCCACTATGAAATTCGCTAACTTTGGCGTCTGAGTACAAAATGTTACCAACAGGAACTATGGGTAAATGACGATGACACGCCGGGGGGATGTGCAGCATTTTCCAGATCCCTGCGGTGCGGCGCAGCCTTTTCTGTGCATGTCTGTGCACCGAGTTCTGCTGAGGAACGTCCTCTCTCACGTACACCTCATCCCTCTAATAGTCCATCTCTGTTGTGATCCAGTCCCATAGAACTCATGGTTTCCGGCTGCACATGTTTGTTCCCAGAGACAGGTCCTCATATGACGTTTTCCAAACATCTTGAAAAGACATAAGAAAACCTGTTTAACAAACAACCCAAATGTGCTTAATTTACAGTAGTCCCTGACAGTCACACACATCAAGACCACAGGACTCCTCCCCTGCCACCTGTGTCCTCTGCTAGCATTTTGCTTTCCTATCTCCAGAATTTCAGATAAAGTCGGTATTTTACTGAATATACAAAGAATAGTTTCTGAGGCTTGCTTTTCCACCACTAACCAAGCCTGGTATTGTATAGAACTGCTCAGGACAGTGGGTGGTGGGAGTGGACAACTGTAGCTGTGTAACTTCCTTCTGTAAGTGAGGGACAGGTTATCTCGAACATAGCAGGTGATTAAGGGAAAAAAAGATTAAGAAGAAAGTTTAAAAAAAGTTCAGTTGCTGGAGAAAGTTTAGAAAAAGAAAATTTTAAACAGTTAATAAATTTAATGTTCTTCCCACCTTATTCTACCCATAAGCAAGTTGCATTAAATAAAAAGATATGAGACTTTCCCGCCTTCCTTTTGTGCTCTTTTGTCAATGTGGTAAGCTTTCGGTAATCAGCAGGCTTCCTCCCTTCCCCATCTGCAGCTCTCTGCACAGAGCCACTCAGTGCCAACTCATTGGTAGTCTGCTGGATGGTGAGTTATTGCTATGAAAATACCTGGTACAGCCTCAATCAGTATTCTAACCTGCTGCTGGTGGGCTCACAGAGGCATCTTCTTTGAAAATCAACTCCATTAACTCCATTTCAGATTCAAAGCCAAGCAATGGTGGGTGGCCAGATATTAAACAGAGCAGAGGCACAGAGCTAGAATGGACTTGGACATTGCCAGGCCTTTGAAGAGCTGGAAAGCACACGGTGCTCTTCTAGTCCAATTTTCTCGTTTTATAGATGAGGAAACTGACCCTCAAGACTGGAGTTGACCCAGTATCTAGCTCCCTGCGGTAGCTCTGTACTAAATCTTCAGCCTTTAAACAGGCTTCTTCACTTTTCTGTGGCCCTGGCCAGCCTGGTGCAGACCAGAGTCCCTCATCAGAATACTGTTTGGGAATGCCTAACACAGAATGTGAGATTTATGTTGAAATAAAAAGGTTCTCCAAATGTTAAAACTGGGCTCCAGGTGAAGAATCAGAATGCCTTGGCTCTCTACCTCCTGTCACCTTCGGCAGCCAAGAGGCCTTCACACTGCTCCCTTGGAAGGGGACTCTGTGCTGTACCGCAAGCCAGCAGTGCCTTTCAGAAGACACCATGCAGACTGCCAGAGCACCGAAGGCATTCCTCAATCTAAAAGCCCAATTTAACTTTCTCACAGGATCAAGAAGGGGCAAGAGCCACAAAGTCTCAACCAATGCAATGTTTACTGAGGAGAAGAGCCAAAACACAAGACGCGCCTGGAGGGTCTGTGCAGAATGAAAGCAGATTCAACATAAAATCCGGCCTAATGACATGGCAGCAGCAGAGGCGGACAATTTTACTGCTTAGTTAGTCACATTGTCTTTCTGTGGGTCAGAAGTGTACAGGACAAGAGGACAGAAGCAGCTGGTTCAGGTTTTATAAGGTGTCAAAGATGTGGATAATTGAGAAGCAGAGATTTTTTTAATCACATAAAAAGGAAATTACTGGACAACTGACATTAAATTAAAATGGAAAATTCTATTACAGCTTATTTTTAAAATAGGGCAGATAGAAAAAGAATTACGTACAAAACAGGAACCAGACGCTTAATCTGAAGGGTGCTCAGGGCAAGACCTATTGACTTCAAACCATTCGTCTATGCAGCTGGAGAAAGAAAAAAACAAAATAGAATAAATGAGAACTCATGCATTTAAACTGGCCAATATTCAAAAATATTTTTCTTTTAAACATGACTATAATTTAGTAGAAAGGTGTATCAACGTTTTCATCACAAGTTTATGTCAAATACATCTATATTTCTCTCTGTGGGTAGACGACACCATATGTTACTATTCCTTTAAGCAATGTAACAGGAAAGATTTTCATGAAGAATTTTATTTTAGTAAAAAGATGACCATTTTTGGAAATCAGTTTTGGTTATTAAAAAGTAGATGCCTCTGACTAAGGGAATCGTTAGGCAGATCATGTCCTGCCACTCCCCCCGCCCCCACTCCCCCAATCAGAACATGCCAGATGAAAGATGGGAAATAACTGAACCCAAAGAGTACAGATTAGTGGATCCCTGATAACCTGAAGGAAGATCTCAAATGTACATATGCTATACTGATAGTAGTGTCATCAAGTGGAAAAAAACAAAACAAAACCAAAACCCAAAACTTAAATGAAGACAGAATAGGTATAGAGAATTTGCTTATAAAATTTGGGTAGGATACTTGATGAGGAATGATTAGTCCAGGTTCTGAGACTCAACCACGTGGATAGACCCCTTAGAACTATAAACAGTTATACTTCGAATAGGCAAAGAACTAGTCATACCAGCTTAATCTAACTTCTCATTCTTTGCGGGGAGAAAAAAAGGGAGGGTCTTCAATACTGTAAATAAAAGCAGGGAATGCAGTAGATATAATTTACCTAGATTTTAGCAGAGCATTTGACAAAATCTGATGGAAAAGTGGAAGCAATGCAAGGTAGACAACGACACAAGGTTGGGGGAGGGGTAAGGATTCCAATGCTAGATGGTAAGTGCAGCCATTAAGGGCTGGCTGGTGGCACTGAAGGAGATTCAGGGATGGTGTTCGGCTTGGCATAGGATGTTCGATCGAGAGTCAGAAGACCTTGGAAGTGATGGAATTCAGAAAATGAGGCCCTCATAGGTGAAGTGTCCCCCTCTCGGAAGGTAAACTCTGCTCTGACTCCTCCGCAGAGTAACCCTGCCTGCCCCTCGTCAGAATCAGGAAGGTGAAGGTGCCCACGGCACGCAGATGACAAAGCCGAGGCAGACACATAACAGGGTGGAAAACAGTCAGATCTCTAGGATTCAACTTACTAGGACAACTGTATCCAAAACAAGGATTCAAAGAAATCGCTTCATGAGATGAGAAACTGACCAGTAAAGGACCTTGCGGTGTTTGTGGCCTGTACATGTGATGAGCCCATAGTGGGACAGGCAGCCAAGAAAGCAAATGTGAGGAGGCTGGGTGACCAGGACAGCCAGGAAGGCCAAGAGCAAAGGGAATTCTTAGATGAGGATGGGCTGGACTCCACAGCCTCTGAGGGGCTTTCCAAACCTGAAAATTTCGTCCTCATTCATCTCACTGTCCAAGGGTGTCCAAGGGTACACCCCATTTTCCTGGTGTTTCATATGCCTGTCAGTACTTAGCATAATTCAACGGCTATGTGAGAGTTAGCACTGGGGAAAAAGAGCAAGGCAGACCCTGCCTCCAAGAAAATGTGGGGAAGAAGTGATTAGATAAGCAGGTACAGCACAAGGTATTACTACAGGCATCTCTGCCCAGACCAGAGGTGGGGAACCTATGGCCTCGAGGCCATACATGGCCTTCTAGGTCCTCCGGTGTGGCCCTTTGACCGAATCCAAACTTCAAAGAACAAATCACCTTAATAAAAATATTTGTTCTGTAACACTTGGACTCACTCAGAAGGCTGCACTTGAGGACCTAGAGGGCCATGTGACCTCGAGGCCGCAGGTTCCCCACCCCTGGCCTAGACAATGATGGATAGAGGTTCAGTGAAGGGCAAAATTAATGCTGATGGGAATAATCAATGGAGCTTCCTGAAGTCAGGGTGCATTTGAGCAGACTCCAGAAAAGCAGAGGCTACAGATGACAGCAGTGAGGAAAAAATTCTAAGTGGAGGCGGCCTGTGATGGGGCCGAAATCGAATTCTGCTGGGTAAAAAGGCATTCAAGTGCTAGTGAGGCAATGTTACACACAACATCTTTTCTTAGGGAGATCCACCCGGCAGGCTCCATCCAAGGGGCAAGGGAGAGAAGAATCATCTGGAGGGGATCCTGGCATGAGATGAGAGCCGGGATTAGGACGGTGGCAATGAGAGTGAGAAGTACAAAGCAGAAAGGAGAACTATAGTGAAGGAAGAACTGCAAGGTGGTGAAGCCAGTGGAATCCCCGTGTGCACAGCTGGCACAGCTGGAGAGACGGACAACTGGGTATCGAGGGGAAGAACTTGATTTTGGAACTCCTGTGATAGAAACACCAGGTAAAACCCTGACAGCCATTTCAAGATAAAACACACATCATGTCTATGTGGTAAATGATGATGCTCTAAAATTTTAACATGAAATAATTGTCTTGGAAAGTTCCAACACTGTGCTGAGTGTCTTGGCTTTTCCACAATTTCAGAGGCTGGGAGGCCAGCGCCAATCGGATCCCTAGTGACAAGGCCCATACCCTTTATGATAGATGCACAGGCAGGGCAGCCGGGCGATCGTGTCTCCTTGCTGCAGCTCTTCCAGGCATATGGCACATTCTCCAGCATCTTTACTTAGCACATCCTCTAGAGAAAGAAAGAAAAAAAGGAATTCAGGAAACATACTTTACAAGGCAGGGTGCATTGTGGGAGGGTGATGCTATCAAAGTCCTAAGATGGCTGAGTCTTAACGAGCCTCAACCTAAGCTGTTGTGGGCATATCTTTTCATAGACCACAATGTCCCCTAGACTTCAGGTGGGGCATCATCTTTATTGACATTGTTAACATTTCATGAATCACTTCAATAACTCTCAACCTAACAAATCATGTCATCGGTTAGTCACACTCTTGGCCACACAATGATATAAACAAAAGGGGGGTCAGGATCTCTGATTGACAGAAGAACTTCCAAATAAGGAAATACACATGACTAACTCAGGCTGACACCTTCTCTTCAACCTAAGTCTCAGACTGAGATGTTGATGGACTTGCCCAGGTACCCAAGGTCACCCAGCCAGCATGTGTCGGAGGTAGGACTACAAGGCCTCTATCACCCGGCGATGCCACGACAGCCACCTAAGTTTTAATCCATCATTTAACTGACAAGCTGTACATATACCGGCAATAAAAACAAAAGAAACAATAGTTACTTTTACAATGAAACAGAAAAATACAAATAGAAACATTTTTGACGTTTATCTTGAGTGCCCCTACTTAGTCATGGATGAGAGGCAGACAGAAAACTCTGATGGCGATTCTGAGAGGAATTTGTAGACACTTCCAAATCAGTGGAACCGGCTTTTACTACCTAATTTCAAAAACTAATCTTCCTTTCCCTTGATATTGCTGTGTCACTAGTACTTTTAAAAAATCCTTATCAGCCTTAGTCTTCTCTTTGATTAGAAGAGAGCGTGCTCTCTTCCTGAAGTAGTCTAAGAAAAGAAAGAAGCTGAGACGTGTGTGCCCATGCCAGAGACTGCCTGAGTCAAGGGCAAGTAAGGAAGAAGACCCTGGGCCACTGGCCCCCAGCGGTGCAGGAGAGCTGCGTTGCTGTCTTAGCAGGGAAAACAAGAGGCAATGAACTTTCTGTGATCTCATTAACTCATCTGGGTTTAATTATCTCCCTACCCAAATGATTCCCAGGTCTATCTAGTCAAGCCCTTGTCATTCTCCTGAGGACCAATCCAGCATCACTGACTGCTGGCTGAACATTGTGAACCACATACCCCAGAGGCCCTTTCCAGGTTACCACCATCATTTGAGTCTCCCAGGTTTATAACATGAGTCATCCTTAAATCTTCATTTCCTCCCACCTCCCACATCCACATCCAATTGTCAATTCTACAGCCTACACCTGGCCCCCTCTTTCACGTCTATGGCCGCTTTTAGATCACCTATCACCTGGACCACTGGAATAACATCCTTGACTTTCCCAGCATAGGTCTGCCCCTGCCACTCTCCTGCTACCTCTGAAATAACTCCTCTGTCTGGCTCCAGGTCCCCTCTTTCTGGGCACACTGCTGCTTCCCTTGATCAAATCTACGTCTCAGTCAAACCTGCACACTCTTCATGCAGCCCTTGGTGTCTTCTGCACAGCCTGTCTCTGATGCCTGGGACCGTCTCCAGTGCATCCTTGGCTTTAAGTAACATGAGGCCTTTCTTGGTGCCCCACACCTTAGACCCCAACCCCAACACCCATTAACCCTAGCATTTGCTGTTTCCCTCAATGGAAAACAAGCTTCTCGAAGGGAGGGACTTCTTTATATTTCTAATTCCTAACACAGCTCTTAGTACACAAAAGTCTCTGAATAGCTTTATTCTTTTACTTTGGATGCTTCATCCTTGTTGGTACTCCCTCTAAGAATGCAGATTCCCAAAGCATCCATGTTTTCTTGTCCTGTGAGATTACTGTCCATTTCTCCCGGCTTTCCCAGAGGCCCACCCAATGTGACCGCCTAGACACACATTAAGCAAACAGGCTGTTCATCCTTTCCCTTACTTCGGCTAGCTTTCCAATACAATAAGCAGATATCCTACTTATCACAGAAATTCAGAATTGGATTGTACCCTCAAGGGTCATCTCAGACTCAAAGACCATCAGAGCCAGAAAGGGACCTTAGATATCAGCTAATTTAACCACCTCATTTCATTTTATGGATTGAAGAAACTGAAGCCTGACGAGGTGAAATAATGTGATGGTCCTGAAGCATGCCTCCCCCTCCTACCATATGCCTGACAGTGATCCTTCAGCTTCTGTTCAAAAGTCAAGACTAGAGAACACCTGGCCTCCAGCACTCCATCTTTGGACAGCTCCTTCTACTGGCCAAATACAGCTTCCATTAAATGATGCCTACATGGGAGCAAACAGAACTCAATTGGATCCTCCTTTCTATGACCTCAATGTCTCTCTTGGTCTCGGGACACATCCTTAAATGAATTGTTTTTGTTGAAATCAAGTAATTTGTTTCCTGTTCTTAATTTTAAAAAGCAAGAATCTCTTGCTAAATTCTCTCAAAGTATTTCAAATATTGCCAAGACATTTTTATATCTGAATCATATCTGAAGCACTCCAGAAGAACTAGATAACAATAATGTCCAAAGAACTTCTAGCCAATGTGATAGACACCTTGGCTCTCCCACTTCCTTTTATTGCTGTCTCCATCTTAAGTCAAAATCAACAAAACGATCTACCTGGATTATGTTTTTTATTTTATCCCACTCACCTCTCTACATAAGTTGAAGTGAAAATCTAAAACTTGAACAGGAAAGTAAAAGTTATAGAATTCTTTCAAACTTACTCCTCAAATTTCTTTAGAAACACTATCCAGATGAAAAGTGTAAAAAAAGTATTTGGTTCTGGATGTATATTGTTATGATATGTTACAATATAATATTTATGTATTAAGTTTCAAAAAATTTAGTTTAACAGATGTTATTTATTTCAACTGAACACTTAGTACTTCTGTATTTGACTTTTAAGAGATAATTGATTTTTACTATATCTAACATATTTAAGATAGTCGAGATGTATTAAAAAAAGTTTTAAACAAGGGCCCAAGATCACAAAGCTAGTGGTGGTCAGGAATGAAATCCAGACCAGTCAGCCAGCCTGCAGGCAGGGTTTATACCTACACTCAAGGCTCTCTCCACTATCACACACCGCCCAGTGTTTGTAAGTCAGAGGCCTCCGCAGAAAGGAGAAGACTGAATCTTTGTGGGACAGAGCAAGGATAGCACTAGCACCAGGACAGAGGCCACCATCTGAACACAAGTAAGGTAGGAATGAGGGATGGTCCTATGTCTTACTCTTTTGAGTTAAAGATTGTTGACTTCAAAACTTGAATATCACCTCAATACCATGGAAACATTCATTAATAATGAATTCCGAGTCTGAATACTCAAGACAAGCATCCCTACATGTAAAAATTGATCAAGACCAAAAGAACAATTTTCTTTCTAGTTTGTCTTCTGGAAAAAGGAAAGGATTCAAGTGATAAAAATGGTTCTACTTCTTAAAACTGTATTCTATGTACAGAACCCATGTCAGTGAATAAAAATTCATAAACATGACCTACTTTAATTTTGTTCTCACATATATTGCCTTTCACACAGACTGTTAAATTACTTTAAAACCAAAATACTTAATTCAAAACAGCCAGATATGCAAAATTAAAATTAAAAATGTTTAGCACGTCCAAGCAAATGCCTATATAGTTACTGCAGATCAAGGCAACATGGAAAAAAGCCAACAGCCAAAAGTCTTAAATGAAAACATAAAAATACCAAATTTGTTAAGAGGCAGCCAAGAAAAGCCCATGCGTTATTTCATAACCATCATGAAATTGAAGCTCAAACACCCCAAGGCATCAATGAGCTCTTCCGAAATACACAGAAGACAAGCACTGTGATCTGGATTAACATCAGGCATTTTACCTGAAGATTTATTTTTTGATCTTGAACCCTCAATGATAGCAGTAGAAAACAAAAGCAGCTGAAATGTGAAACATTCCCTAGAAAAACCAAGAATTAAAATAAGTTTACATCATTAGTAAGAAGCAATTACATAAAGAATGAAAACTGGGGGCTCAAGAGAGTTGTAAACACTAGGTATTTTTTAGGCAATGGACTCCTAACATGAGCTTTTCAAGATTTCTTATCCAGATAACCCTCCATTTCTGGGATCGATCCGCAGAAGAGAACAAGACATTCCATTCAAACATCAAGGTGCCCTCCATACATGCTGTAAGAAAGAGAAACTAGGGGCAGCTAGGTGGCGCAGTGGATAGAGCACCGGCCCTGAAGTCAGGAGGACCTGAGTTCAAATCTAGCCTCAGACCAAACATTTGACACTTACTAGCTGTGTGACCCTGGGCAAGTCACTTAACCCCAATTGCCTTAAAAAGAAAAAAAGAAAGAGAAACTAGCAGAATAACCATTATAACAATACACACTTTTGTCTACATGGAACCTGTGCTGCTCATCTGTAAAGAACAATTCCTTAAAAATGCTAGCACTCAAACCATTCCCTCTGAAAACCAAGATAGACAAAAGACACCCTAGGAGCATTTTAACAAACCTGTTTGTACATAGTCATTTACATGTTATCTTTCCCATTAGACTGTCAAGTCCTTGAGAGCACATAGTAGGTGCTTTGAAGTTCATTTCAATAATTTTCCCTGGCTTTCTTTTTTTTATCCATCCTTTACAGATAAGTCAGACTTGCAGAAGAGTAACTCCTAAATTCTTCTACATGAGGGCGCTGGTATTCCCCAAAGCAGGTTTTCTCAAACTATTTCATGGAACCATTTGAGGGGACCATAAGAAAAGAGCCAGGACACTCAAGGACAAAACAACCTGTCACTTTCTTGTCTTTCTGGGCCCGGTCAGGAACAAGGGTTCTTAATTCAGGGTCTATGGACTTGGCTTTTTAAAAAATACATTTCAGATATCTATTTCAATTGTAATCCTGCATATTCTAGTTATGCATTTGAAAGGGATTTATAACTTCAGACTGCCAAGGAGTTATGACCCACAAGGTTAGGAGCCCCTAGAACCAAGAATTTATTGAGACCTATGGCTGGGGCCA